CACTTAATGGGCTCTAAAGACTCTTCTACCTCGCTCCATCTGCTTGGTCTTCCTAAGTGCTATTTCCATCACTCTTCTGCTCAAAAACCCTACAGAGGCCAAGAGGACCTGAACGATTTAATCTGGCTCTAAGGTGTTGGACAGTGGAGTCAAGCCACCTTAGAGCCACGCCTGCCAACAGGTGCTCCGGCAGTCAGAATGTTGGCTTCTCTCCAGCAAAACTCTGTATGCCCCACCTCTGCACACTTGCACTTGTCCTCCTTTCTACCAGATGAGGATGCCTTAAGGGCTGTGCGGGCCGGCCCTGAAGAATTCAGAGGGTAGAAAACTGTAACTTTAGGTGGGGGGAGGAGGTGGGGGGAAGACTCAATACACATCATGTTTCAATTGAGCTTTTAAAGATGGCATTAAGTCAGCTGCATAATCTCTGTATACAAATGAAGAAACTAAAAATATATGTACTTGGAAAATTATCTTCCACCATGATATATAACATAATTTTGAAATAAAAATATTAAAGCAACAGTAGCATAGAGTACTACAGTCATTCAACTTACAGGAATTTTAATCTGCATTCTCTTTTTATTCAATACAATTTCTCATATAAAAAAACTAGGTAAACCTATACTAAGCTGTTTATCTCTGCCTCTTTCCATGTATACTCCACAAATTTCTTTTAATACAGGGACCTATAAATTTGTGTGTTCCATTTCTTGGTCAGTCGTAGAAGCTGACTGGCCTGCAGGGTACCACCATTTTAAGGTTTTTCTTCTTACAAAGCTATTTGTGCAACTAACAAAGCAGCTAGGAGCCAAGTCTCTGACAGAGGAGACCAATGAGCCAGTGTGGGTGAGACTGCGACCTAACTCTTCCTTAGCTTGGCTTCCATAGATATTATCTTTGCTGATTATAATATGAAATAGAATTAATGAGGTCGGCTGCGTGATTTCTAAGTATGATGCGGCTAGCCTAGAACGAGCTGGAAGCTATGTTCAAATTCAGTTCATCTCCCTAGTGCCGGGTCCTCTTAGTTTAAGCTGCATTTGGAAGACTATTTCCTTTCCTCCTATAGCAAGGGAGTGCGGTGCTTTTGTGTCTCGCTGGACAGCCAGTTTTCTTCAGGAAAAAGTACTTCTGTGCATTCCGACTTACAGGAAGAGGTAGTTAAGGTCAAGGCTCTGGACTAGACTGCCTGGGTTTAAACTCTAGCAAGACTGTTTACTAGAAACATGACTTTGGTTAGTGTAGTTAACCTTTCTTTCAGGTTTACCATTTGTAAAAGGAGGATGGGGGAAACTGTACCTCTATCATAAAGGTATTGTGAGGATTAAATGGGTATTTATGCTTATGCATATGTATTCTTTCATAATGGAGTACACTATCTGACATGTAACATATAATATATAGCATGTTAGCCTAGATTCATATCTGATACACAAATGGCTAATAATAATATTAGATATAATTTATATATTAAAATCTAAAGACTTACTTGAAATAGGAAATAGTTCTCAATAAATGTAGTCATATTTTTGTTTATATACCTAGTCCCAGAGCTAAACAATCAAAATGTTTTTTAAAAATACTTATGTTCTACTTTGATTGATTTAACTTAAGAGTATGATTTTAATTTAATTTCAAATCAGCAGTGTAAAACTTTCATAAGCGATCGAACCTGAGTGTGACGTCGTGGGCTGGGTGCATGGTCCTGCACTTGCCAGGGGTGACACATAAAGAACGCTGGAGTGGGGACATTCACATGGAAAGTTTGAGTTTATTTTCTTCCTTCTGTAAATATCTGGTGTCTAATTACAAGGACCTATGCTGTTCGAAATATCTACACTGACAATCTGAGTTGATTAAGTTGGAAAACGAAAACAAAACCAAAAATACCCCTGTCAAAACCCAATTGTATTTTGGGTAAACGACGGATGGCCCAGGGAAGAAGAAGGAGGCAGGAGGCCAAGCCTTCCATGAGCTCTGCCCTGGCCAGGCCCACTCTCATTCTGCTTGTGTTTACCTTTCTGATTACTGCCCTGGATGTCACGGAATAGTCATGACTCTTAGAGGTCACCCAGTTTACTGCTTCCCTTCACAAGCAAGGAGGTGAGATTCACTATGCAAAAGTGACCTGCAATTCACAGAAACTAAGTTGTGTTTATTGATTATTTCCTTTTGATCCTGAGACAGGATGTCAGGATGTAGTTCAGGCTGGCCTTGAACTCCAGGCAATCCTCCTCCTTCAGCCTCTGAATGCTGGAATTACAGGCATGTGCCACCACAGCCAGCCTGATTTGAGTTTAGAGGTAAAGTCCTGGCAAGATAACTTGTTATTTCACTGTAATCAGCAATCTCTGCTTCCTATTCCTGGGTGGTAAAAGAATACCCAAGTTCTTTTGTAGATATTTTAGTCTTTGAAACTTCTTAACAATGTGTAGGAATGTACATCTGAAGATTGAGGCTTACAGTAATTTATTTTTCTGTGGTTTTTCATGCAAGCAAACCTGCACCAAGAGTTGCTGGAAGAGTTCACCTCAGCATCCACAGGTGGTGCAACAGCAGCTGTTAACCTGCCACGCTACAAGCTGATGTGGAGCCTGTTGCTTCTCTGCCAACCACACCCTTGTCTGAGGAGCTGTATTTCAGCTTGAGTAGTCCATGCTGCTTACCCTGCTGCTTTCGCACACGTGAGCTCACACGTATGCTTGCAGCATCTTCATCAAGTGGAGGCAAAGAATTACCATGCTGCCGAAGTGCGTGTGGTGTACTGCTAACCGTGTGTGGTGCACGGCGGGGTGAGGCCTGAGTAGTTCTTTACCTTGTCCTTTCCTGGAAAAGGTCTCTGGGCACCAGAAATGCTCAGCTTGCTAAACAGTGCAGGTGAATGTTTACTGTCATAAATACTGCCAGGTATATAGTGTGCTTCAAATTTGCTTTCATGTGAAGGGACTTTGTAAACCAAATGGGTCAAAAATGACATAACCATTGCTGATCACTTTCCTCTGTGGCCCCATGATTTCCTTGATCAGAAAATTTGGGACACCACTGATTTATAGGATGCCACAGCACAGGTTCTCTTATGTCCTGAGTCCTCACTGACCTTGAAGTGCTAGGGCCAAAATATTGGCTATCCTTGTAGCCCCTCTATTTCTCAAATTTTTGATCTGCAAACTTTAGTTGTTAAACATCCAAAAGAGAAGCTTAATGATATTATTACCCTGTAACAGAGGCAGTTGGTCTTAACATCACTATCTGTCTGAATATCAAACGCCTTAGATATAACATGGAACTGCTATTTTCCAGCAACCATGGATATTCTAAAATTTAAAACTCTATAGAATGTGAAAAAAATTACACATTTGTACACAGAAATTTAGCAATGTATTAATTATTGTAAATGTCGTACTAGCCTGTTTTAAAACTATTTTATTGCTATTTTATCTTTTTTTCTCACTAAAATTATTTTTTTAAAAAAAGAAAAACAATGATATAACATGGCGGTGGAGGCTGGGCTTAGGCTTAAAAGAAACAAATACTCAGCTTCCCTAAAAACAGTGAGCAAAAGACACGAGGTGCTCTGAGCCTAATAGGGGAAGGATACAAACAGTCTCTCCCCTTTTCTCATCACATGATTTAAAAACAATCTCCCTAACTCAGAAGCTTATCTGCTGCTTGTTTTAGTCCTAGTTTAGAAGCGGCCTGGACTCCCTCCTCAGAGAATAGCTTGGCATTTCAGAGGTACATGGGAAGAGAAGAGCGGAAGAATATCAGTGCATGCCTCCTCGCTGTCCCCTTGGCCGCCTGTCCTTCTCCCTTCTCGCCCCTCCTGCCTTGTCACAGTAGGAGCTGCCCTGGGATTTAACTTCTCTTCCAGCCTTCCAGTCCTCCTGTATCTCTCCACTTAGGGATGACATCTAGAGCCCTGGATCTCATCCTTACCTGAGTGTGACTCAGCCCTTGGGTCAGAAGAATGCTATCAGGCCATTTATGCTGTGGTGTCATTTCCCCTAGTGCTCAATGTACCACTGTCCCTAATAGCCTGGCCCTTCCCTCCAGTCTGCTGTCTTCATCTTTCATTAGCACAGTTGATTTTATTAAAAACAAAGAGAAAAAAAACATAAAACTGAACAAAGAATCAAAATTGCTCTTCTGTGAAGGCGAGCATGTGCAGTAAAGTACTATAGTGGCCGAGGTGAGCGCTTAGGCTCAGGAGTCACCTCACATCCGTGTCCTCGTGACAGGAGCACGGGGGAAGCAAGTCAGCAGGGTCAGGGGCACTGTCAGCTTGTGACCCCAGAGTGGGAAACAGTCACCTGGTTCTCACTAGGAAATATTATATCCACGGTCTCACTGGCACATGCATTAAACCAACAGAGTTAAGCTCTCCCAGTCTGTAATATCCAGCCTTTGTGAACACAGCGTACCACACTCTCCTTCCAGTATGGCTTGGCTTTTGCACCAGCATCTGAACAGACTGTCAAGCAGGGACTGAGTGAGTCTCGTGGTGCCTATGCCCAAATTCAGATGTAAATAAAAATTATTCAGATTTCAAATTTCAAAACTTGGGAAAAAGCCTTTTCCGAGACCATCGCACCAGAGATTTCCACCACAGATGATGGGTCTGAATGATCAGAATCAAAAAACAGAGCCATTTCTGAAGCACCCATAGGTTCGCTTCTACAGTTTTCTATGCGGCAATTCACAAACCAATGGATAAGTAATGCTGTACTAAAAGGAATGTAAGCCTGTCAGGTTAATTACACAATATTAGGTACGAAAACAAACAGTGCAACACAAAACATAGCTACATCATTATTTGCAGTAAATGTTAACTCTAAATAAGTGCAACCTGTCCATAAATGCTTGCTATAAACTAATTAAAAAAATAAAATTTGATGGATAAACATGAAAAAAAAATTCTCACCGAGAATTTTTTTTTTAAATATCAGCACTCATTTAGAGTTTGGGATTTGTGAAAGAAAGCTTTAAAAGGAGCAAACCTGATTGGCTGTGGCTGTTGCTGCGAAGGGGACACTTGTTGCAGGAGTTGTTGCTGCAGAGACAGTGGCGGACGTAGCGCTGTGCATCATGGGTACTTTCAGGAGGGGAACCATGGGAGCAATGAACAGGAGGGTGTAGCATTATGGTAATAGAAGTGGTATTTTGGCATGGTGAATATCAGAGCAGCAAGCCATCATGGGTTAAACCAGCAGATGGCATGCAATCACAATGCAAAGCAAGGAAGCATGGGAGAGAAATAAAAAAGGGAAAATAGCTTATTACAAGTACAATTAAAGGAAGTTTTAAAACATAATCAGTGATTCCCAGAAAGGCCAAAGCAGATTACTTTGGTTGATTTATTTATAAACATTTTATTTCTAACAATATCTCCCTTCCTAATTCAGAATATATAGTGAATGTAAGTAATAGCTGTTTCTAAAAATATGATTGGTAATAGCCAATAGAGTAAGAATATGTCCTAATTAAATTTAGAATACTCACAATGTTTAAAATGTTTGTAGGCCTAATTTGGGATAGGATGTCCTTTGGAATTAATTAGAGTTAAACTGAATTTTTTTCAATTTGGCATTGCTCATGTATACTGGAATTGCTGTGAATTATGTTTTATTTTGATCAATAAACAGTGAGGCAGAAATCTTGGCCTTGCTGTAGAGTAGCCAGGCAAGTTCTGCCAAAGTTTATTTTTTTGGATTCTAAGGAGAACTAATCCATATGTCCTAAAGACAGACTTTTGTACCAAAACACTGAAATGTGTGCTTATAGCTAACTACAAGCTATTGAAACTTAGTATCTATGTGAATGTGAAGGTACAAAAAGGTCCACAAATTTATACTTAAGGACAGTAAGCAAGGCAGTTCAGACATTTGGTTTCAAATAAATCCATGTGATTTTTTTTTTAAATAAATACTTCTGGGAAACTCTGATAATTCTAACACACAGCAAAGAGGAGATAAAGGCACACCACTATGAAACTTTAAAACATTGATGAAATTAGCCTGCCTCTCTGTTTTTCTTATGCTATACCAGATATACTATAAAGAGAAACAAAACACAAATCATTAAAAAGCAGACTCATATTTGTGGTTTCATGTTTTCGTAGAGATTGTTTTAGCACAAGAGGTCACATTAAAACTGTCATTTTCTTAAACATATAAGAACATCGTAAAAAAACCCCTGTAGATTAACTCTAAAGCCAAATAAATGTTCAGATCTATTTCCTAAAACATTTCTACCGTCTCTGAAATAAAGTTCAAACAAATGAACGCACTGTACATCATATAAAAGACAAATAAAAAAGGTTGAAACCTACCAATACTGGTAGCGGGTGTCATGCACAAAACTGAGCCTGATGTCATGCAATGGTGGGTGGAAAAAGTGAATAAAGGGAAAGAAACAGGTTAGCAGTTTAGAGTTAACATTCAAAGTGAGACTGAAGCACAATCAGAAATAAGTAGGGTTAGTCAACACAGTGTTTTAGGGCCATTCACATTGTCAGTCCAGACACAAATATATCTAGCTTGTTTAAGTCAGTAACACTCCAAGCTCGCTCTTAGATTACTTTTCATCCTTTCTATTCATATCCATCAACAAGATTCTAATCAGACTGACGTGTGGTAATGCTATGGTGTCCTTCCTCTAAGATCTCCATGTATTTTACAGACATTATCAAATTAATCCTCTGAGGTAGGATGTATTTTACAGATGAAAAATCTGAGGCACAGTAACTCCTCCAAGGTCATGCGCAGTGAGAGTAGGGCAAGGCTAGAAACAGGACTCTCCCTAAATCCAGATCTTACATTCACTAGATTATGCTTCACTCACTGCATTAGAATTATGTTTGATTATGGACAAATTATACATCAAAAGAGCAAATAAAAAATTGATTTGATTATAAGCTGTGTGAAAGTCAGTAATGTAGGAAGACGGAGGCTCCCGGGCCGAATAGCCTACATTTGTCTGAGATCTACGCTCTGCTTTAAGGTTCACTATGGTAAAGCGTGGCACCCAGCAAGGAAAGCTACTCACTGCTGAGGCAAGTTAGTGCAAAACGAGGCTGAATCAGGACTCAGGCTCAGGGATGTCTTCGAGTTCCATGAAGTGACACCTGAGAGAGCCCTTTGGCAGAACGGGGACATCCCAAGTTAGTGGCTAGTAGGCAGGGTGGCTCAGCATTCCCTTGGGAAGAGCCGCCTTCCCTATGGGTTGTCTCATAGTGGGGGGTGAACCAGGAGTCTGACCAGGATGAAAATGTGTGCTGTGGAGAGCTGGAAAAGATCTGCCTCAGAGCTTCGAGGGCCTGCCCACTACCGCTTCTAGGTACTGCACGGGTGTGAGGACTGATGCCTGGGTGTGATGTGGGTGGCAGGAAGTGATCTTCAGGAAGCACGGGGGTGCACACCTCAGCTCTCAGAACTGCCTCCTGGGATATCGGATGAGAAATCTGAAGGCTGTCTGTCTTTATTCTCTTTGCTGAGTACTTCACACCAGAGGGAGACTTCTTAGCCCATCTGCCTTTTGATCAGGCTACCATTCCCTACTCAGAAAAAGGGCCTGTTGAACTGGCTACTTCAAGAGTCTTCAACAAACATGCGCGCCAGTTCAACCACCTACACACACACACACACACACACACACACACACACACACCCTTCAGAGTGCTTTCTCAGGTCTGTCTCTCACCTTCACAAACTTCTGAAAGGTTACTTATGTGTTCCTTTCCACATCCCTGCTCCTTTTTATTGCTTACTTCTCTCCCATATGGTTTTGTTTCTCCTCTCCACTTAAACTGCAAATGTCAGTCATCAAAAAATTCCACACTGCTACACGGGGAGGCTGAGGCAAGTCTGCGTCCAGCCTGGCAACTCAGCGACTTCATGAGAGGCTGGCTCAAAAAATTAAAAAAAAAAAAAAAAAAAAAAAAAAGAAAGAGAGAAAAGAAAAGAAGAAAGAGGAGGGGAAGAGGCAGAGGTAAAAGGAGAAAGAAGAAAAGGAGGAAGAGGAGAAGAAGGAAAAAGCTGGGGATAGAGCTGAGTGGGGTGGTCCTGGGTTCAGTCGCCAGCATGGGGTGGGAGGGTGGGGTGGAAAGAGAACTTCGAATTGCTGCCATTGGTGGAAATCCCCACCCCATGGTCTACTGCTGCTGAGATTCAGCTTGCCCATAACAGCTCCATAAGAAATGACTGTCATCCCTTAGGTTTTTGGTCTCTCTCTCTCTCTCTCTCTCACACACACACACACACACACACACGCATGCACTTTTTTCCTGGCAACTTTCTTGTTTGCTTTGCAGATGCTCTTCCTTTCTTGAGCTCTGTATC